ACAAAACTGTCAAACTAACTAAAATCTAGAGTTGTACTGTAGCTATCTAGCAAATATATCTGTATATATAATATTAGTATTTCGTCGATGCATAGTGGTGTGAGTTCTGTAATATTGTGTGTCGTAGACACATAGATGATAGACAAGTATTTGAATGGCATGATCTGGATGGAATTGTTAGCAGTTAGGTGATATTCGTATTTATTTGCTATCATGTATTATTGTGACGGTCCAAGTACCTGTCCTTTTTACTGCATTCCACAATGTTGATCTGTTAAATTGTTTAATGTTATGCCTGCTCCTTCCTTGTTATATACTCATTTAGACTGTGACTAATATTATTGTTTATGAAATTAAATAGGCAGTGGCTTGATTTGATTTAATTGATTTATTTGATTGATTTATTTCGATACTTTAGTAACAAAGCATACATTACAACGAGAGCATAAATAAACAATATGCAGCTAGATAATTATCGAGGATGAAATTGAAAACACAAAAAGCATGACCAGCACACTTATTTCCATTGTGGTCCTTTAAAATAACATAACATATTTGTATACTACTGTATAAATTAACATATAACAAATATACACAACCCGTGTCTACAGTAATTCAGATTATTCATTTATACGAGATTAGTAAATTAAGAAGGCACTGTCCTCCATCGTCTTTACCTTTTCCATATTAAGATGTTTTTTAACTTGCCCTTTGGCTGGAGGTACGGCTGCAATTTACGAGGCTGGATGTACGGCAGTTCATTCGCTTTCATACAAACGAGACAAAGATGGCGGCAGCCAATTCTGATTTCGAAATAATGCATTGGGAAATAAATTCACGATTTGAGAGTTTTGATGAGCTAGAAAACACTCGGATTAGGTATGAAAATTAACATTATTGTAAACTTTACATCAGAAGATCGCAAATATTTTCAACAAACGACGGCTGCCGTACCTCCAGCCAGTCCGAATTAAATAAGGTTATGTCCATCTGTCTGTAGGCATTATTAGGCACATGAGTACATGAGTGTCATAGTATTGTAGTTTACATGTTGGGTGTATATTTCTTATAGGTATTATAACAGATATGTATAATAATATTTTATTTTTATTTTTCAGATGTATTAAGGTGTTTCAGCACATCACCTATAGTCAGAGCAAACGTACAAGGTAAATAAGAATGTAGTTAGGGATTAGTAATGCTTTTTTCTTCTTTTCTTTTTTCCAGATGTTGCACATACATCATTACATACATGGTATCAAAAAATATTAGTTCTACAATATTTTGGAAGGACACATTTCAATCCATATA